TGAAACCAAACAGCTTCTCTGGTATATCGTTCTTTCTTTCTTTCTTTCTTTCTTTCTTTCTTTCTTTCTTTCTTTCTTTCTTTCTTTCTTTCTTTCTCTTCCTGAAACCTAACTCTGGTGTATCGTTCTCTTCATTTTTTTTTCTCGCATTCAAAACTGGATTATTATTTAATGGAGGTAATGGAAATCGGTGAAATAACCTATTCTTCTACCTTTAGTTCTAGCAACACATGTCTACAGATTCAGAGTGAAGCTAGCCGGAAATAAACAAAATAGTTAGGGATTTATTTGCGAAATCTTATTAAAGAAATAGATACGGTCTCCAGCAGGATATATTTTACTTTAATAATTCTTTTTCAAATATTCAGGCCAGTAGACGAAAATAAATGAATATAATATTTAATAAATAAGCGTATACTCAAATATAGGTATTCATTTAAAATAACGTTTTAGTAATAAAATCACTCGGATTAATAAATAAAATCTATCAATTCTTTACAAATATTATATATATATATATATATATATATATATATAGGATTAATACAAATATAAAATTTGTCACTTAGCTGATTCATGTTATATTCAAAAGCTCTAATCTAGAGTTTCGTAGATGAACCTGTTTATAATCATTCTGTCCGCTCGTCAGCAGATATCTGCAAATGTCAATCTATTTTTTCGTTTTCTTTATTTTTATATTAATTTTAAAAAAAATTTTAAAATAATTTAAAAAACAGAGCTGAACAAAATTCATGTTGAAAAAATCAAAAAAAAAATCAAATGAAAACTACAGATAAACTTATTTTTCTCCATCAAGTCATTTATTTCTATAGTTCATTGCTACTAACAAGTAGTTTTTTTTTCTACTGATGATGGCCATGCTGGTCGAAACTAGTTGAGAAATCTAACTGAAATAATAAAAACGAAAGAATAATAATAAACAGCCCAGTTTGTCTGAAGTTTTTAATTTTTTTAATATTTTCTACTGTTCAATATATATATATATATATATATATATATATATATATATATTTACGTTCTAAAGTTGGCTCTCGATCGATACTTCAAATATACAAATCAACCATTCAGCCTTGCATGGAGTATTGCTGCCATATATGGTCTGGGGCACCTTCTGTTTACCTCGAAGTTCTTGACAACATCCAGAGACGGATATGTAATATAATTACCTCTGATCTGGCATCTCGTCTACAGTCACTCTCTCACAGACGCTCCGTCGCCTCTCTCTGTCTTTTCTACAAATAATTTCATGGTAATTGCTCCGATGAGCTGCTTTCACTGGTTCCCAGACTCCATGAATTCAAGCGCCCTACTAGGCTGGCATCCCGCTCCCACCCTTACACTTAGAAACTTTTAAATGTAGCCGTCTCTTCTACTCCAATAGCTTCATACCTCGCACCTCTCGCCTGTGGAACACCCTTCCCAATTACTGTTCCACTGAGAGCTATAATCTCCAACTATTCAAATGTAATGTCAATCGACATCTCCAGTTACCTTGATCTATCCACTATCCCTCTCCTCATCCTTTCTTCTATCACTCCTATCTGCTCTCGCGCCAAATCTTCTGCAACCCCCTGCATCCTAGTGGCTTCACACCTTGCTCGGGGCGTAATGCTTAAAAAAAAAAAAAAATTTTTTCAAAATTTTGAAATTTACAGTGAAAATATGCAAAATATTTTATTTATTGACGTTTAAAACAAAAGGGAATTTTATTATCATTATTATTATTATTTATAAATAAAGACCAAGTCATGCTATTTGGTTCTTTTGCACAATGTAAATATTTTAGAACTGCGCGTGTTTTAAATTCAACATAGCGAAATCTTTACACTGCAAATAATTTTAGACGGAGCAGGCAGCCTGCTATGAAATTTTCCAGGTGACAGCGCCACCAGTTATCGAAAACAAAAAAAAAAGTTATTGGCAAGGCGAATCGGAAGTCAAATAAAACTAAAATACAAAAATAAAAAAAGAACAATTTTCAATTTCTTTTTTTTGTTTTAATAAATCACAAAATTCTAAATTGTTTCTCAAAATATATATATATATATATATATATATATATATATATATATATATATATATATATATATTTTTCAAGTCCGTGGTTTACATTTTGACTAGTAATAATGGATGAGATTCACGATAATTGTGGACTATAGATTGTAAGAAATATGAGAATTAATATATAGGAAGACAGACATATTTGATTAAATAAGGAACAAATAAGAAAACCTTCATAAATTTGACATGTTTTTGAGAAATTGTTGTTTTATTTATTTTAAATTCATCAGAAATATTTATGCAGACTCTATTTCAAAGTTCCTATCTGTCTATTATCTATCATCTATCTATCATCTATCTATCTATCTATCTATCTTTTCAGTAAATTTTCTTTTCAATCTGATCAATCTATCTCATTTATTCTTTCTTTCATCTATCTATCTAAATATTTATCTATCTATTAATAATGTTTTCTTTTGTCAGTCTCTTCTATCTATTTTTATTCAAATCTATATATATATATATATATATATATATATATATATTCACATGCTTGATTTTATGCAAGGAGTTCTATTTAGAAATTGCCGACAATTCTCCTGATGAGTTGGTGTCTTAAAAGTTTGGCAACATGCAGTCTTTGATATATATATATATATATATATATATAAATATATATATATATATTATATATATTATTGAAAACTGTCAGCTTCAAAAAAGTTTAATCTTTTTTGACCGATTTTTAAAAAATGACATCAAATTGTTAATGAAATTTTTTAAAGTATTATTACAGAAAACAATCCTTCATCAGATCCCGGAGACTGGCGCCACAGACTCACACTCAACGGGCTTTACCAAATAAGAAAAAAAGTAAAGACACATCGCTTGAAGACTTTTAACTCCATCAACAACTAAAATGGATAGCATGTGTAACTAGAAGAAAAATAATGGTTTAATCAATATACTGACTTTCAATGTTACCTTGGATGTGCGGTTGGTGCAATGAAGAGCCGAGTTCGAATTTCAATTAGTTACATTCAAATTCTGCGCAAATTCCCTTTGGAAAAGTATTAATCCATATTCTACCCAAACTATGGGTTAAATAGTATGACTTGTATCTGGAAAAATCATTGTTATTACAAAAAATCTTTATTTAATATTCACTCGCAAAAAACAAAAAAAAAATATTATTCTTCCAATCCAAAATATATTATGTGTTTAAATACCCTTTGAAAGGTTGATAAACCGTAAAAAAGTATGATTCCACAGTACCTTAATCAAAAGTCGATGAAGGAACCTCTCATCAGTAGTTCGTTAGATTCACTTACGCGCAAATAGCCTTGGACAAGATATTAATCCATTTTCTACCCCAACTATGGGTTAAATACTATGACCTATATCTGGAAAAATCATTATCACACAAAAATTCTTAATGCAATATTCAATCGCAATATATATATATATATATATATATATATATATATATATATATATTCTTCCAATCTAAATTTAGTTACGGTTTAAATAAGCAAGAAAGGGTTTAAAAAAGACAAATGGCAATCATTTTAAAGTCCTAAATCAGTTAGCTCTCCTTAGAACTAGGGAGAAGGCGAAAAGAGTTAGTGGACTTGAAAAATTTATTTTTCTGTTTAAAAAAAAAAATGTTTTACAAGAATGTTTTTTTTTTCTTATAAATTTCAACCAATAGAAACGCTGTCTGTCCGGTTATTGAATATCGAATGTTTACTGAATTTTCTATGACCGCTATTGTCAACACTACCATTATGTATGGAGGTTGATTTTCATTGGCTTCTTTCCACACATGTGGTTTTGATGAAGCAAATGTTTAACAATGTTTTCACATCAATATTTCATTTGTGCTAGTCTCTCGTACATTTTTCCTCGTGTATCTTTGGCCAGCACCTTTCGTAATTGCAATGTTGTAGTCTAAATTTACATATATATTCGGCTGTCATTTTTATTTCTTTCATCTGTATAAGAAAGATTGATAACAGTGGGTTTTAGAAGTCTATCTTTCCTATTGTTGTATAGAGATGAAGTGTCATTGCTGACACTGGAGTTTGAACACAGATCACCAGAGAGCAAACACAGGCGATCCCATTTTGAATAAGTAGATCACGTGATGTTAACGCAAATGTACGTATGGGAATTAGCGTGGTGTCTAAGTGATCTCTATACGGATTACTTCGGAAGTGTGCAGGTCAAACTCTTTGCCTCCGGGCAGACAGGATCCCAGGACGAGGCTATGTCGAAGGGTAGAATCTTGTCTCGGGAGACAGCTACCCGACCCCGTTTTATACGGGGTCTATGGGGAATTTTTGGCCGAGACTACGGGCTCGGATACTCCAAAATAAACTCGGGGATGGTTAGTGAATATCTATATGGATTACGATTCGGTGGTTATTTTTCGAGTATTATCGAGCAAGCACTATTAGTGTGAATGATATTCGAAGGCGTCTGACACCAGTATTGTTTAACTGCGTTACTATAGTTGTATCTGCGATTACAAAGTCTCTACTACAACGAGCATTACGAAAATGGAAGCAATATCACAAAACCTATAATAAAAAAAATGGCAGAAACACAGATTGTTCAATGAATACAGAATTTTTCCTTATAAGGGAAACGTTTATTCTTACAATTACCATTACTCTTATTTATTGAGGTTGATGTTCATTTGGCTGGCTTTCACACTTGTGGTTTTGATGAAGCGAAGGTTTAACAATATCTAATATTTTCCCATGAATATTATTATTATTTCTTTTGTCCTTGTCTCTCGTGCGTGCCCTCTCCCCCTTATGTATTCATGATATCAGCAGCCTCTTCCTTTAGAAATTGCAATTTTGCATTCTTTATTTTCTTAGCCCTTCGGCCGCCATCTTTATTTCGCTCTTTGCCTTCACAAACTCTGCCTCCGATCAGAAACTCCTGCCTGCGTGCCTGACCACTACCGTAAGCATCCGATGCGTTTGTTTGTTTGCCATCAGAAAGGCATTTGCAGGCTTTAATGAGAAAGCGATTTGAAATGTTTGTTCAGTTTTATAAATCCTCTGCAAGCAGACAAGGGTGCAGTAGAGATGATTGCGGAAGAAAAGAGAAAAAATAAAACCATTAACCAACAAGCAGACGAATAAAAATCCAGAGGGAGAGACAGACAGACAGAGAGACAAAGTGAAAAGGAAATTTAAAAACAAAAACAAAAAAAAAAGAGAAAAAAATAAGCATTTCAAGGAAACGAAGAGAGAAAAAGGCTGATTAAATAAGAAATTTGTAAACATTTTTTTTTTTTGTGGTTGAAATTGTTTGTAACGTAGGAAAACAATAGCGAAGAGGAAGATGTGCAAATTTGAAATTAGTCAAACAGCCGTTTCAAACGAAACAAAACCGAACTGTTGTATCATGAGAGGAGACAAAGAGACGGAAACAAAATAACGGCTTCTATATACCGTGTCCTTTAAGGAGGTGAGCGGTCATGGCTCTTCACAACTTCCTGTCCTTTATTGTTCTTTAGTAAATTTTGTCTTTTTGCTATCTCTCCTGAACTCTGTTCTGCCATCCACTGACACATGTTTTCGTTAGATGTGTTATGCGCCGTTTTCCTCAGGTCCTCTTGCCCTCAATATGTCATGTAAGTGTCAGATTCTACAAGCCCCAAATTTTCAACTATCTCTTTCGGATGTTAAGTGTCCTTTTCGCTTTTATTTTTCCGAAAGCTATTGTCAGCATTTTTCTGTAGAACCACATTTGCCTCAAGTCTCTTCTTCATCTGAGAGGAGATTGTCTACTATTCCTTGATACTCATTTTATGAGATTAATTTTGTAACAGATTATTTTTTACGGCTTATCAACCCTTTGTGGGCTATTTAAAACCGAAACTTTCTTTAGATTGTAAGAATATTTTCTTTTTTTTTTCGGGTGAATATTGCATTAATATTTGTTTTTTAGTAATATTAACTTTTATTTCAGATTCCTACTATTTAACCCATAGTTAGGGGGAGGAGTTTACGGATTCGTATTTACGCGTAAGTGAATGTAGTCCTTTCATGGGAATATCAGGTTATAAGTATAAAATCAGAAATGTTTAAAACTTAATATCTGACATTTCCCTAATTCTTTTAACGTCTAATTAAAATCCACCAGCTTTGTATCCTTAGCGGTGTCCGACTCTTACGTAATGTAGCTTCTCTGTGTCGTTTTCTGTAAATACTTTCGTGGTGATTGTTCTGCTGAACTGTCCACTATGGTATCTAGATGAATATAAGCGCAGTACTAGATTGGCGGTGAGGTCTCATCATTTTACGGTTGAAGTGGCGAGATGCAACCGTAAGTTCTAGGTTAACAGTTTCTTCTCTCACACTTCTCGCTTGTGAACATCTCTTCCGGTTTCTTGCTTACCAGTCAGCTCTGATCTAAAAAATAATCAACTGTCAATCGTTATCATTTAAAGAATCGTGATTCTTTTGTTGTGGCCAAATGAATTTGAATGTTATTATACTTGGGGTGAAATTATTAAAAAAAAAAAATTAGATTGGATCTTTACTTCATAATGAAGATCTTGTTCCTGTTCTTGAATGTTTCTCTCTCCCTGATATTGATTTTTAAAATATTATTAACACTTAGTAACCCATTGTGTCTTAGTGGCTTTATTGCCTAGCATGGGGTGAAATATGTATTGATTTTGCCTAATTTTTGACCCAAACCCTAAAAGTAGAACTGCCGGCAATTTTGATTTGCCAACAAGAATCCGTTAAGTGTTTGACATTTTAAAACATTGTAATTACTCGGACTTCATAGAGAAATTGTCGTATTGTGGTGCATGTTGAACAGCATGCAGAATAAATGTGTTATTCTGGTGTAATTGAAAATATCCGAGCGCATAGGTCCGTGATTGTGTTTATCGAATTGTTGACATGACTGGGTACCTTCCTACCGGACCCTGTTGACTCTGTTTATCGAAGTGTTCGACATGACAGTGAATACGTGCCCACCGGACCCTGTTTTTGGCCCTGACACATATTGTACTATTCATACACGGCTTATGGCCACATCCCGTTGAAACATTGATTACCATACGATCCTTCCGTAAAGAAACGTCGTCCCTGGTCAGTACATAAGTAGGTGACCATTTGACTATACCAGGTGCTATAAGCTTGACTATGCGGTTGGTGTAGTGGATAACGGCTCGGAATTGTTAATCGGAGAACTGAGTTCCAATTCCACTTGGTCTCGTTATATACACTTACCTGCGACTACCTCTGAGAAAGGTACGAATCCACCTCTTCTCCCCTCCGTTGGGTTAAATAGTATGACTTATATCATTAAATCATTATTATCTAAAAAAAATATTCTTACAATCTAAAAATATTTGCTGGCTTTAAATAACCTGCAAAGGGATGATAAGCCGTAAAAAACGAATAAATCAATCAATCGGACTATTTTTACAATAAATATCGA